AGTCAACTCTAAACTACACAGAGGAAAAGAACTGAGATACTGATGGCCATGGATGAAAAATATTCTGAAACTATTTTTGCTCTCTTGTCAAAAGGGCTATCTGTGCTATTGAATTCAGAGCTGTTCATGGCACAATCAAGTTACTGTGGCTTAACTAATGCAGGCCAGCTGATCTTTCAGTAAAACAAGGAGGGAAACTGCAGTTTAAGTAGACCTATTGTTAATGCACACAAACAAAAAAGAAGAAAATAATCTGTCTCCCCCTAACATGTATCAGAGTGAACAGAGTAGGACAAAGATATTTGTGAAGGCTGTTTTCCTGGGTCCCATTGGTACAACCCAGTCTTAAGAGCAATATAAGGGATTTTCATATCCTGAATAAATTTTAGAGGGAAATGCCACAATGACTAAGAAAAGAGTCTGGTAGAACAGCACCAAGCAGAATGTTGCGATGCTGCATCAAATACAATACAAACATAACATGGAAGAGACGCCACTGAGGCCATTAATGTTACCTCGCCCTCAGAGAGCTCTTTTTACCTGCAGACCATAAAGTGTTTTACAAATAATGTCAATACTATTTTGCAGATGGGGAAAATTAAATACAGAGAACAGATTTTCTTAGTGCTAGTGTTCAAGCTGCACCTTACAGGCTTAGTTTCAAGCCTCCCAGTCCAATAGCTTTCACATGGGACTAGGAAGACTCTCATTTTGAGAAATAATACGTATTACATAACTAACTCTTTTCCTAAAACATTTTAATGCTAGAATACACAGGCAAGTCACAAGCCTCTACAATTAAGGCCCAAGTAGAAAGGAAGTTAGAAAAAAGACTGGTAACTACATAATCTTTTCTTCAAACCTAAGCCACCTTTCCACTCCTCACCCATTTTAATACCATTTTTGTCTGGGTATACCTACTAACTGAATTATTTCAAACCAAAATGTATTCAAATATGTCAAAGTCTGCTAAGAAAACAGTAATGAAACACACAAGTTCTAGTTTTCAAGAGGAAACTATCAGAACAACAATTACATCAGCTTTTAATGTGATATTCATACATTCATAGCACGATCACCTGGAGGCTTGACTGACCACAGGCCATAAACCGAGATGTCAGCTAACATTGAACAGTCTCCTGTTCTGCTTTAGAAAGGAGCATTTATAATGTGAACTCATGATTTTTTCTTTATCTTTTCTTCTTTCACTGAAAATTTTCATCTGTTTTCTTCTCACCCTAAAGTATACCTCCATAGATTTTTTTTTGCTTCCCATGACAAATCATGTTTTACTTTGTTAATTTCTTATACTTCATTTACAGTAGTAATTTCTTTTACAACATAGATAATAGTGCAGTGTTACTTTAGGACACCCACTGCACTTGAAAGTTTTTTGTTCTGGGTCAGGCAGCACAATTCCAGCACATAAGAGGACTGGCAACATAATTCTTATCCTGATATGGATGTGATTTTTCACCTGATCCAGAAAAAGAAAAATTTCTAGCTAACCAAGGTATATCAAAGAATAGCAATGACAAAAAATTAGTTTTAGATTGCTTTTGTCAATTGATACAAAATCTGCCTTTTATTCTAATTTGTCCCTACCACTGCTAGCAAGAAACTTCATAGTTCCTTTCCTTTTTCCTACTATCTATCCTCTCCATCTCTCTTCTCTCACTTTTAATGGTCTTGTAACATCCAAATAATCTACTTATGTAATATGTTGTTTATGCCAACCATAATCTTTGCCACCATAGGTTGGAAGAGATAAGGAAATTGAATACAGCAAAAGAGAACACAGACTATTTGTCTAATTACTTGTTACATTGGAAAAAACAAGCACCCACAAAACACAAAATACGTCTCTGGTCAGTCATCCGACCAAATTTATGACTAGTAACTCCCAGTGATCAACAGCCCAGGCTACTGGACAAATCAAACACTAGTTGTAATATTGTTTGGTTTTACTCCAAGAGGAGACTCTGGGCTGTCTGCTGTTCAGTAATCTCCCAGAGCCAAGGATTCTAAGGAAAATTTGATTCATGCAATCCTAACTCATCAGTATTCCATATATTTTCATAACGTAACAAAGCCAATTCAACATACCTCTTGGCAGATCTCCCTCTCTCATGTAAGCCTATCAATTATAATAATAACAAATTAAGCTACCCTTAAAGCTAGTAATAAATGTTCAGTTGATACTCCGTTCTCTAAACAGGAATCTGCAGGTCTTCTTTGAGATACCTGCCATCAAACACCTGAATCATGTCGTAAGGCTCAGCCATGTCAACCTGCTTTAGTTACTGACTGTTTGAAGCTTTCTCAAGGAAAATTGCCAGCTCAGCAACTCTATCCCTTTCCCATATTTGAAAATATACATTCCCTATTTCTTCAAGGGTTTCTTCCTCCATGTAAGTATATAAGGTAGCAACCTCCTGCAGCTAGAAGGCCACTCCCTGTAAAACCACTGCTGTTGGCAGCTCTTTCTTACTCTAAACAACTGTGTCATTTCCATGAAGCAGCAGGATTTCCTAGCACCTAAATCACACCAACTTTTTTGTTCTGCCTTATCAATTTACGTATCTGCAAGGTGCCAGTGATTGTCATCAGATTCCAACAGAGCAAGTATTCGTTTCCATTCTTCTGTTGAATAAAAAATCAGTCAAAAACTATCCATGCATTTTTCAAACCATCCTCTAATTTAAAAGTACTAAATACAATTATGAGATGAGTGATTCCACTAACTTTTCCAGTAATCCCTGTTACTCTGATGCTGGTTTCCCAACAGCTGGTAGCTACATTTCTGAACTGACACTTCAATATAATTTTTTTCACTTTTGCCCACTAATTTGTGGTCCACATCAGGTATATCAATCCTGCTTCATCTGGACATAGTACATGCACAATCTCCTGTTCAAAGGTTTTATCTTTTGGTATAGCCATCACTGGGATGCAAGGATAATAAGGTTAAGACAGGGCATACCTTTTTAACCCAAAGTAAATCAATTTAATGTTTATTGTGCTCCCACTTTGCCCTCTAACAACGAGGATTTTTTCCACTTGCTTTGACCTGTATTTTTGGCAAATGCTTCTTGAATGTTGTTATGAGAAAGCTTCCTAAATCTGAAGTCACACACCTGACCAATCTCTTAGGTATTCCATTCTCTGTACATCTTTTAATACTACTTCTGTAACACCTTAGGAAGTATGAACCTGACTGCATTTAAACAAAATTTAATTTCATAGCCATAGGTCCTGCTAAAACGGTAGTAAATACTGGAAATAGCTGACTATTGGCAGAGAAAACAGGAGATTACCTAATTGCTCTATTCCCACAGCAATGAACAAAAAAATCCAACCCATTGTAAGCCTTTGTCTTTAAAAACAGAAGACAGTTTTCCTATGGATATGAATTGTGATACAGCTGGACTTTCTCAGGTCTATGTTGAAATCAAAGGCTGGTTTGGTTTCTTGGCCAGCCAGTTCACAAACACACAAGGGCTGGTTTGACTCTTCATTCCCTGAATCACTGGCTCTTCAGTGTTTTAACCTCCCTTTTAGATCTGAAAATTAAACCACTTAGACTTTTAATGTTTATATGGCTAATGGTATTTTCATAATACTGTTTCATTCTCAGCCTCCTCTGATCTAGTATGGTCCTCTCATTGGCACATTTTAGTGAGGCAACTTGCTTTTTTGTATTCCTTCTTCCTGAAGGAGTATCATCAGCCTTGCCCCTTATACTCCAGTATGCAGTGCCTCTGTGAGTGCCCAGCACTTCCTTCCTC